CAGTCTGCATTCCCACCAGCAATGCACGAGGGTTCCTTTTTCTCCGCATCCTCTCCAGCACTTGTCATTTGTTGATTTGTTGATAGCCATTCTGACAGGTATGAGATGGTACCACATTGTTGTTTTGATTTGCATCTCTCAGATAATAGTGACTTTGAGCATGTTGTCATATGTCTCTTGGCCTTCCTTATGTTCTCTTTCAAAAAGTATCTATTTAGGTCCTGTGCCCTTTTTTTGATTGGGTTGTTTATCTTCCTTTTGTTAAGTTGTATGAGTTCCCTGTAAATGTTGGAGATTAAACGCTTTTCAGAGATAACATTGGCGAATATGTTCTTCCATGCAGTGGGCTTTCTTGTTGTTTTGTTGATGGTTTCTTTTGCTGTGCAGAAGCTTTTTATTTTGATGTAGTCCCATTTGTTTATTTTCTCTTTAGTTTCCACTGCTCTAGGAGCTGTATCGGTGAAGAAATTGTTTTGGCATATGTCTGAGATTTTGTTGCCTTTGGATTCCTCTAGTATTTTTATGGTTTCCCATCTTACATTTAAGTCCTTTATCCATTTTGAGTTTATTTTTGTGTATTTGCATATTACCTCTTTATTATATGGAACTAGTGGCCTGGTGCACAAAATTCGTGCACTTGGGGAGGGGGGTCCCCCAGCCTGGCCTGTGCCCTGTCACAGTGCAGGAGCCCCAAGATAGATCCCTCCAAAGAGGTAGGCCCCGCCCACCCATCTGGGGCTCCTCGATGGATTGCCCCAAAGACATAGGCTGGAGCTGGGGGTCCTGCCTCCTCCATGCCGCGCGGAGCCAGGAGGTGGGACCCCCAAGACCACCAGGTAGGTATTGCCACATGGAGCCGGGACCCCCAGGCAGGCCTCGCCGGACCCCCAATCAGGCCTCACCGCATGGAACCGGGGGATCCCCAGGCAGGCCTTGCCAAGTGGAGGCGGGACTCCCAGGCAGGCTCTGTGCAGAGCATGCAGCATCTAGCCCAGCCCCGTCCACCTGCGCGTGCCTGCTATACACGCAGCCATCTTCTGATGGTGTGAGGGCATCACGGCATGACAGCCACCTAGGCTTTTATTAGTAAGGATAGACTAGAGGCCTGGTGCATGAAATTTGTGCATGGGGGCATCTCTCAGCCTGGCCTGCACCCTCTCGCAATCCGGGACCCCTCAGGGGATGTCCAACTGCTGGTTTAGGCCCGATGTAGGATTAGGCCTAAACCAGCAGTCAGACATCCCTCTTGCAATCTGGGAATGCTGGCTCCTAACTACTAGCCTGCCTGCCTGCCTGATAGCCCCTAACCACTCTACCTGCTTGCCTCATTGCTCCTAACCCCTTTGCCTGCCTGATCACCCCTAACTACTCACCTGCCTGCCTCATCACTCTTTTTTTTTAATTAAATCTTTATTGTTTAGATTATTACCTTGGTTCCCCCTTTTT